GGCTGACGGAGGTGGGGTGGGAAGAAGTGTGGGAGTCTCTGTGGAGGGAGGGGCTGGTGGGCGGGGTGTACAGGAAGTGGGGGCGGAGCCAGCGACTTCATCACCTGTCTGAGCCTGAGATCAGCCTATCACAGAGCAGACGGTTCTGAGTTAAACCCAAACTGTGCTTCTGGACCGTGCAGTGGTTCTGACTCACCATGGGCACCTGGGGCAGAACCGGCATGTTGATCCTGGGCAGGGCCTCCAGCTCCCGACCCTGATGGAGCTGCTGCAGAACCTCCCGGAACCGGTTCTGGAGCTCCGCCTTGTTCTTCCGGACCAAACCTTCGTTTCTCTCCCACTTGGCCCGGTCCGTTTGGTACTGCTGCGGGAACTCCTCCCTGAGAGCGTGCAGGTACTGAGACACCTGGACCAGGGGAAACCAAACCAGAGACTCAGCTGTGTCAAGTTTAGCTTTTAGCTACAACTTCTTCATTTTAGCCTTTTCTTAGTGCAGCTAATTTTAGCTGTTAGCTCCTGTTATTTAGGTTTTAGCTTCTTTGGCTGTTTAGTCTTTTAGCTACAACCTGTCCATTTTAGCCTTTTGTTAGTTCAGCTAATTTTAGCTGTTAGCTCCTGATCTTTAGGTTTTAGCTACAATGCTATATGTGTTAGCCTCAGTCACCTCTCGGAGCCAGGCCTCGATGTGGGACACGGCTGCGTCTCGCTGCTTCTCCACGGCGGTGACCTCATCACGCAGCGCCTGCAGCTGCGCCTCCTGCGCCTCCTTCGTCACGCGCTGCATCTCCCGCCTCAGCTCCTCCAGCTCCTCCCCGCTCCTCCGCTGCTCCTCGCTGTGCTGCTCGCTGAGCGTACGCAGCTTCCTGTCGCTCTCCTCCAGCTCCCTGAGCAGCCTGGGGGGGGGGGACAGCAGGGGGGCTCAGGGGGGCTCTGGAAGGTCGGGGGTCTCTGAAAGCTGCTCCTCACCTGTTCCTCTCCTCCTCTGCTCGGCTCCTCTCTGAGGTCACTTCCTGTTTCTTGCTCAGGAAGTTCTTCCTGGTGGTCTTGGAGTTGTTGAGCTGCAGCTTCACTTTCAGCGAGTCGATTTTTTCCAGCTGAGCCTGAAGGCAGCAGGTTCAGCTCAGAGCGGTTCAGAGGAGCAGGTGTGTGTGCGTCAGCGTCTTACCTGCTGCTGGCGGAGCGCCTCCTCCTTCATCCTCTGCAGCTGCTGCTTGTGTTTCACGTGCTCCTCCTCCTCCTCCTCCTGCTTCTTCAGCAGCCGGCTGTACTCCTCCATCAGCTTGGAGCTGCACTCAAACATGGCCGACACCTGCTCCTCCCAGTCCGGCTGCGTGTTGGTGCCAGAGTCCACGGTACCGTCCGTCTGAACCAACTGGACCTTCTGGATCAGGTCTGAGGGGGGACAGCATGAGGACAGGGGGTTAGAGGCTTAAATAATATCTTTAATCTGATCCAGGCTCTTCACTGTAAAACTAAATTATTTATTTATAAATCTGTTCTGAGCTGCAGCTTTATGATCATTAATCTGTTTAAAACAAAGAAATAAACTTCCTGAGCTCAGTTAATCACATAAATATTACCTGGATTTAAATAAATAATCTTTATTTACTGGAAGTAAAGTTTAAAGATTGTTCAAAACTATAAAACTATTTATATCAAGCTGAGAGGCCTGATTATGTTTGAAACAAGTAATAATTTATGATTTTTATCTTTTCTTACATTAAAATCTAAGATACCCAGATCAAACTAGGTGTTGTATGAAACTCAGTTCCTCTGTGATTTAAGGTTGAACCAGCAGGGAACAGATTTCCACACAACACCTGTTGTGTTACACAAACACACAACAACACGTCAGGAGCAGCTGAAGCTACAACAGTTTCATTTCTCAGGAACTTTACTTTCTAAAGACCCGAACCTGAACCAGAACCAGAACCAGAACCAGACCTCAGACTGCTCCACGGTTTACCTTCAACGGTCATTTTAGCTAACTCCTGGTCCAGGTCCTCCTCTTCTCCTGCTTGGGTTTCATGCTGCTCTTCCTCACCGGGCTTCAGGACAGCTGTGTCCCCACTAGCATCCATGCTAACAGAGCTACACAACAAACTTCACCGGAAGTAAAGTTTGTTAAGGTAAGAAGTGTTTCCGCGGACAGGAAGTGTTAGAAACTCTCCAGGAAACTGAACTAAAACCGACTCAGACCTGTGAACGCGTTAACTCCCTCTGTTAGAAATACTTCAGTCAAACTGAACGTTACGGAAGCGACGGTCAGCCCGGAAGTGACCATGTGCTCATCTAAAAATGATCCGGGTTGAAACAAGTTAACGGTCTTTGAAACGAAGATCGTCTATTATATTTAACAAACTTTACAACACTGCTCGTTTAAAAAGCTATAATTTTATTCATGCTTTTCATTTTAATGAAAAACAGTCTAAATTAAAACATTTTCATGGGTTTTTAAAATAGTGATGTTTATTAGCTCTTTATTCTTGTTTCAACCAGGTTTTAACTGAACTGATTTTACTTAGAATAAAATCTTCCTCCTGAATGTAAACACTTCTCTGTTGACCTTTGACCTGACTACAAACATATTAAAATCACTAAAGTGATCATGTGTTATATCTGAGTAATCTAGTAAAGATGGATATCTGAATGAAAACTGGCATTAAAAAATTTAATATCTAAGTTAAACAGCATCTACAAACTTAATTCAATCTGAGGAGATTAATGCATTTTATTATTTTTATTACTGTTTAGTTTGTTAATTTAAAAAAAATGAAATATTTGGAAATAATCAACTCAACTCAACTCAGGGAGCAGAATAAGAAGGAGGTCTCACTCTGCTTCAAGTTTCAAGAATAATATTTACCGACACTAAAATCAGTCAGTAACAGTAAGTTTAATGTGTTCTGTCCCTGTTGTACCACTTTTAGACCACCTCGGTCAGTTACTTTGTTTTCAGGAATGTTGTAGGATTTTGGAGCAGAGTGAGACCTCCTGCTCGTCCCGCTGCTCTCTGGTTCCCAGCAGGACGTCACATGACGGAGCAGGAGAACCTCCTGACTCCCGCTCCTCTTCCCGTCACTTCTCTGACTGCTCGCCGCCTCCCGTCGCTCTCAGCCCGCAGGAAGGACGCCGACATGACGGACGCAGCAGCCCGGGAGCCTCCGCCGGAGCTCACCGACTTCCACGAGGTGGAGGACGGGGAGGACCTGTTCCCGGAGCCGAGCCCCGCTCAGGAGGAGGTGAGGAGGAGGTGATGGAAGGGAGGGAGGGAGGCCGAATGGAAGCAGGAGCAGGCAGGCAGGACGTGATGTGATAAACATAAACATAAAGGAGCAGAAACCACCGGGAAACCTTAAATCCGTGTTTGTTTAACGAGGTCCGGCGCGTGAAGGCCTTTGTTTCTCCTTTCAAAGTAAAAGCATCTTTAAAATGTTGATAAAAACAGCAAACAAACCGTGGCCTTCACAGCTACAGGAGCCGAGCAGGGTCAGGGAGAAGGCGCAGTCAGGTGACAGGCACACAGGTGAGCGTGATGCCTTCAGGGGAGCTGGGAAAAACACAACCCTAACGTGCTTATTGAGCTTGTTTTTAGTTTCACAAATCAGTAATAGTTGAAAACATTGAGTTTTTCTGCACTTCATCCATCAGGTTACAGTTCTGAATGAAGCTCTGTCAAAATAAAATGTTTTTTAAATCACTAAAATCAGCCGTGTGTTTTTACAACAGTTTGTCTCTGAACAAACTAAAGAATATTTTTGGGTTTTTAGGTTTTATTAAGAGATTTAACTTTGAAAATCTTCGTGAACGTTTGATAAATGTTTGATTTTATAT